TTTCAGAGATTCTGAAAGCAAAAGGAATTCATAAAACATATTTGAAAATTTTGAATTACATACTGCGCCAAATTTAGGTTTCAAGGTTTAATCAATAATGACAAAGAACCTATAGGTTATTTGCTTAGATAGAAGAATATTTTCGTTCTCTTTCTAACAGAGCACTTCCTAACAGAAATTAATACATAGAAAAACCATCGGAAATGTATCATGTGGAAAAAGGCAACGCAATCAGTCAGTTTTTGTGCAAAGGTTTTAGGGTATCTCGTTCTTCACCTCATCTTACTCAAATTTATCAAATCTAGAGAAAAAGGTATTCTAGGCAGTTATTTAGAATTTGAATGATATTGACATCTATTTATAAATAAAACGATTTAAATGACTTTATTACAGCATAATTTAATTTACTGAGTAATGTTACGGCTATCAAGAAAAATATATTTCTGACATTTCTATAATATTTCTTAGAATCGCAAGTTTGGAAGCAAACTAAAAAGAATTAAAATCTTTTACTTAGCGACAACTTTTGCACAGGTATTAAGCTTAGCGTAATCACGTGCTTGTTATAAAGAACCGTATCTTAGATTACATGGCGTTGGAATCAAAAACAAATCACGGCGAACTATTAGAATTTTAAAATTTCAAATTATCTTCTTATGTTTGTAAAACTATGCAAATTCGGTTTTATTAAATGAGCTTCCTAACATGTCGTTAATTACTTCTCTGTAGGCCTAATGATAAATTAGCTTAGTCTTTGGAGTTCCCTATCTTTGATTAAATAATTAGCTAACTTCAGAGAGTGTATCCTAGACAGATTTAATTTATTTCTCTGCACTCTTGGTTAAACACGTTACTTCGTTTGTGCAAACCAAGTTATACTAAAACTATAACCAAGTTATTAAGTTATACTATAACCAAGTAAGTATAGCCAAGTAAGTAACTATAACCAATATTATAACCAAGTAAGTATATTAAGTTATACCATAAACCAAGTTACCAAGTTATACTTCGTTTGTGTAAACCATGTATAGAAATTCATGGAAATTTTCACACACTTAGCTTGTAGAGTCGTTTTTTAAGCAGGAGACGTGAAAATGTGCAGTGCTCTAGCCGGGACTCGAACCTGACTTCTCGAATACGCGTCGAGTATGCTTCCAATCACATGATGAAGGCGTGCGGAAAGGAGGGAGAAAATACCTTATTAAGCTGGAAGCCCTTTTTTGTGATTTTATTAAAATGCAATATTATAAATAAGACCTCTTATATTTACTTTAATTTTTTATGAATTCGGGTGAAACGTAGGTATTTATAGACTAGATCTCCTATATTTACTTTGAAGTTTTATGAATTCGTGTGAAAAATCATTCTTTATAGACTATTAGAAATTTAATTGCTAGATTTCTAAAATTAAAAAAAAAGAGTCTGGTAGTCTAAAAGAAACTATCTGTTAGTAAAAGTAACTCTCCATTGCATGGAAAAAAATAATACATTACAGCTAATTAAAATAATACATAATTACAGCTTTGCTTGAAACTATAGATTTCTTTAATTTTACCTATTTACCAAAGGGCAATAAACTAAACACTCTAGTTTTGATAAAAGGAAGAACATCACTAAAACACATTAACGACGCCAGGGCATTTAATAGTGAATTTTAACTGTTCTTGCATAACGCACAACCCATTAAGGAATATTATTATATATATTTAAAGAAATTTGATATACATCTTAATAATTTAATAATACTTCGCATTAAAGTTTACATTATATTAATTGATAGCTATAATTCAATATAACTATTATACTGAAGTTTTAAATTGGTAGTACTGTTGAATTCCTCATTCATGACAGAAAGAAAAGCTACAGGTAAAGACTTAATTGAATAATATGCGCATAAACAAACTTTATTTTTAAATTATTTAAATTAGACTACTATTTTTATTCACACCACAGAATACAGAGTCCGTTATACTACTACATTATTAAAGAGTTATTTGTACCTTAAAAAGTCTTAGGAAAATAATTTAAACTATATTATTTATACTTAGAATATGTATTTATGACTTCACCGAATAATGAAGGCTAATAATATGAGAAAATAGGTTTTTTGATTTTTTAATATAGCATGTTATATGTAATTTATGTTTTATTATTTTTTTACTTTACTTAAGGACTAATTAATAATTTATAACAAATTTTATTATAGTTTAAGTTAGAAGTTAGAAGTCACGTAGTCTTGACACTTGCCTTTTTGAAAATATTCTCAAATGTTTCAAAATTTTTCGCAGGAACCGCTGAGACATATAAAACTGCGACACTCATTAACATAAAGTGTAGAATTTGCTTGAATACTAACAATGATCCATTCAACATTTTGATAATTTTTTAGCGATCATAATGGCAAGGAGGCAACAGCTGATCACTATTAAATGCCATACAGGCAGGTAGGTAGTAAAAATGAATAGAGCTAGTAGTTTATAACCTGTTGATCATCAAGTTAGGAATCTGTTCACAAGAAGGCAGGCAGTAAATATAGCGTGTGAAGTAAAATATCAATGCATTATGCATTCGAAGCCGCTTTTTTATCGAAAAGCACACATGTATGAATGGGAAATGAATTTTCTGTATATCATCGACTTTTGAATTACTAGAGGAAACGTGCAACACTCACAGAATCACCGACTCGTATGTCGATCATACTAAATGTTTCACGATTTCTTTATTATCCTCTAAAAATTAAATTTAATAAAATTTGAGTGACATTTTTGAAAATGTCTTGTGGCATCTACCTTAGTCTGCACAAATAATATTTTTTTTTTAAATCCTTCCATTAAGAATTAAAATCTTGTAAATCACCAGTGCTTGACAATTGCTCATATTACGGGTTCTTGGTTTAAACCTGAGTAAATCTATCTAATATCTAGCAACATTTTAAAAATCTTAATTTAAATAAGGTTTCTGAGATTTAAAATAGCATTTTAAATCTCTATGCCTTTAAATGTAATTTATAAAATTTCAATCTACAAGTAACTTTGTGTTGAACTCCCGATTATCTATAATTCGCACATGGTCTCATAGAAAACTCCGTTGGTACTTAATTGATAAACGACATCCCTTTTTCGAAGAACTTCCCAATTTTTGGTGTAGTGAATTTCATTACTGAGGCTTGGAATTAGATATAAACTTAAATTCATGGCTTGAAATAATTTATTACTATTACCATAAAATGCGGCATAAGTAATAACCTAATGCCTCGGTGAAATTATTTCTGACGTTCAAGGGCTTGAAAAAATAATTTAAATTTTCATTGTAATAAAAAATAATTTAGTTTGATTTTTTTTTAATTTTTCAAAATTTTTTTCGACGTAATTTTGTGCAACATTTTCCATGTTATTTGAAAGAAAGTAAAATAAATGTCAACGTAGCTTTTAAAGGGAAAAAAATAAATATAATAGCAGGAAAACTATACATTTAATTATCATTTTAATTAAAAATTTATATTACAGATTATATAAAATTTATTTTTATTTAATTAAATGATACTCAGTAATTATGATCAAGATCAGGGGTCTTTAAACCGAAACCCTGAGGTTTCAATCAACTGCTCTAGAGTAATTAATCTGTAAAATAAATTTTACAGATTATGTAAAATTTATTTTTATTTAATTAAATTATACTCGTAATTATGATCAAAATCAGGGATCTTTAAACCGAAACCCTGAGGTTTCAATCAACTGCTCTAGAAGTTCTGTATGGCAAAACAAATATTCGAAAGAACTTTGAAACACCATGTCAGTGGCAAAGCGGAACATCTAAAATAATTAATTAAACAATTATTATTATATTGTAACTATTAGCTAAAATAATATAACACAGATCTGCTTCTGCTTTTTTAAGTAAAATTACGATGAAATATTTTTTTTTTTTGTTGTTGTTGTTGTTTTCATTCCCCGCTTAATGCAATTTTGAAATATTTTCAATATCTTTTTAAACAGAATTTTTTAAAAGCATAGTAAGGATTCTAGCAATAATAATACAAACGTTTCATCAATTTCCCCAAAGCACTAAAGACTCAAATTAAGGTATATAAACAATGTAAAATCTTGGAATTATATAGTTTCCAATCCATTGTTGAACATCCAATAGCATAATTCCCTGCAAAATATTAAAACGTAAAACTGTGTCCTTTTTTTTTAAGTATCAAAGAATAATTTCATACTTTATGTACTTTAGTAGTTAAACTTTAGCAAGGAAAGCTTTTTTATGAAGTAACAGCAATTTCCTTTTTTATTTTTGTAAAATATGAGTCTTTTACTGATTGTTAGTAATGCCATTATGCATCAATTTTTTTATTAAGCTTTCTAAATTTAGTTTCAGATCCAAACGCTAAATTTCATATTTTTAAACAGACACCTTATTAAATTTTAATTTAAAAACTTCAAAGCTAGATTTCAATTATTAAAATTCTTAAACCTAAATATTAAAAGTGTTTATACACTGTAAGCTTTGATAAACACTATAAAAGAACAATAAAATTTAGGATTTCCAAGAAATAATTTAAAATTTTTAATTTTTATGTAATAAAAGTGAAATATTAGAATTCAAAATTTTAATTCCGCGTTATTAACACACTTTTAATTGTCTTAATTGTTATTAACACACTTTTAATTGACATGTCTGAAGAATCCAAAATTTATTTCACAAATCAAACGGTAGCTGTCGTTAAATTTAATTGCAAATACACTATATAATACTTTCGTTAATTACTTAAAGGTATAAAATAATTAAATTGGAAAATTAACTAGTTTTAAAATACCTTAATGTAGATTTCTTTTAAAAAGTATTTTCCCTCAGTAATGAATGCACTTATTACAGCGGTAGGGTAATGCACACCTTGCTAAAGCCAAGCCTGTATATAGTTTTTTATAACACTAAACAGTTAAAAATCAAAGCATTTATACAACAGAACAAAGATAAAAATTTGCAACATAAGTACTCACCATCGGAAAGACAAACATCAAAACATCCAGAGACGATTAAGAAGATAACAATTAGATCTCGAAAATACATTCTGAAGGCTAAAAGTAGAACTGACAGCAAGGAGAACACACAGATAGAGAACCTGAAAGTAAAAAATTCAGAATACAAAGGATACAGCTTTTGTAGTAGCAGACGTCGACACTTATCCCAAAAAAAGAGTAATTTTTAATAATCAGCAATTCTCTTTTATTCAGTGGCAAATCACAGTAAACGGGCAACGATTGAGCGCTTTATCACAGCTTGAGGATTCGATGCATAAACTGCTGTTATTGTAGCTCCTAACAGTGTGTCCTTCTGACACTACAAATTCTGAATTTTATGCTAATATAACTTTTCTCACATTTGATCTATTCACTCCTACTCACATTTAAAGTGATTATATATATATGTATATATGTATATACACAGAATGTATAGCACCCACGTGGTTGGTAGCACAGAGAAGCGCAAATGAGCGTAACACCCAGTTCGAAAATATATATCCGCACAAAACAGGAAAAGCGAAAGTTTTGTTGAGGTATTTAGAGAGCACCCCTTGGCGTTTGTAATCCGGAGAAAATGGGGGGAGGGTAAAGGGCACACGCTACCCACGCCGTACGTGAGCCACCCACGGTTGTCGTACTCGGCGGCAGTACTGCGGCCGTCTTCGGCGGAGCGTAGCGGGGGTCGACGGGAGGACGGTACTCGCGACTGCGCCTGCTCTGGCGCAGAACAGCCCACCCCCTTGTTTCGGAGAATGCCGTGCCACGACGTGGAGAGCGTAGTTTCTGCGAGTTGGTCAGCGGGACTCAGGTGTTTGGCGAGTTACACTTTACAAAACATTGTTACAACCGATTTAAAAATTCCCAAATACTCAATTTTCAATAAATTATCATTATGAGATTTATTTTTTTAAGACCTCGCTAAGAAACAAATAAATACAGTTATCGAACTGTTTACACATTTAACATTTACAGTTTTTTAAAACTATAAAACACATTTTTTTGTTTTGTTTTAAAAGATCGATTCGAAGTTTCGCCGCGTCTTATGTTCCGAACTTAATTGATAGTTTAATAAATTCTTCCCTCTCCCCGCCAAAAAAAAGGTCTCTGTTGTTAGGTTAGTTGAACATGGCACAATAGTAACTACCCTAAGTGAAACTATGCTTTTGTGGAGGATTTTCTACGGGACACTGGCTCGTACTGACGTTATACATACGAAAAACCACGATAACGAACTAGGCAGTCAGCCCGTTCGCTTGAGATCCTACCCAGGTCGAACTCCCAGTATTCAGAGGTTTTAACCCCTCGGCGACTACTGGATTTTTTATAAATTAAGAATGCATCCTACCAAATCTAGCACAATTCACCGTCTGGCAGATTCACATAAATAACATTTTAGTTGAACAATGAAAACTCTACTTCTCTGTATATATTGCACATTATCCCCCCCCCCATCCTCTGTTGCGCTGTATTCATTCGTTTTCTCATTTCTCATAATATAAGCCTTTGAATGTTGGCTTAGTTGAATCCCAGATTTGATAGCGCAGCCACAAATCTTTTACTCAACTTCTGATAGACGAATATTACTTTCCTCTGAATATATTCTATTAATTCCTAGAAAGCACTTAATGCATGGACAAGTTAGAGAAAATTAATTAATACTTATATTAAATATCGAAGAATATTGTTAGGGGAAATTTCGCATATATACAATTCTATAATTTACACGCACACATTTACTTACAGTCGTGTGTGAAATGAAAGGAAAATTGTTTTTAGCTATTTGTAGCTGACATTTTCATAAAATTTTCGAATTTTTAATTATTCTTGTCCTCTTTTTGTCTATCATTTTTACAATTTTGCTTTTTCCCCCGTAAAATATTTTATGTAATTGTACTAAAAATATTTATCATCAACTATACACTAACACAATTTTTGTATACCTTTTATCATAATGAATATGCTATTTTATATGTTCGTTTCTAAAATATTTGTCTAACTTTGCACGTACACGTTAAAGTTCATAAATATTAATGCAAATATTGTTCTTCTTTGGCTGTTTCATAATGCATTTCTGACAGAAATTCTATAAATTATTCCTATTCTACTCGCCCACCGGCGGCGGAGTGATAAAGTTGCAGAACACTGGTAGTTCATAACACTGGTAGTTGCAGAACACTGGTAGTTCATAACACTGGTAGTTGCAGAACACTGGTAGTTCATAACACTGGTAGTTGCAGAACACTGGTTCATAAAACACTGGTAGTTCATAACACTGGTAGTTGCAGAACACTGGTAGTTCATAACACTGGTAGTTGCAGCAGAACACGAACACTGGTAGTTCATAACACTGGTAGTTGCAGAACACTGTAGTCATAACACTGGTAGTTGCAGAACACTGGTAGTTCATAACACTGGTAGTTGCAGAACACTGGTAGTTCATAACACTGGTAGTTGCAGAACACTGGTAGTTCATAACACTGGTAGTTGCAGAACACTGGTAGTTCATAACACTGGTAGTTGCAGAACAACACTGGTAGTTGCAGAACACTGGTAGTTCATAACACTGGTAGTTGCAGAACACTGGTAGTTCATAACACTGGTAGTTGCAGAACACTGGTAGTTCATAACACTGGTAGTTGCAGAACACTGGTAGTTCATAACACTGGTAGTTGCAGAACACTGGTAGTTCATAACACTGGTAGTTGCAGAACACTGGTAGTTCATAACACTGGTAGTTGCAGAACACTGGTAGTAGCCGGGATTTGAATCCCAGCGAAGGTGCTCGCTGCATGGGCATTTTCGTGCTTTCCCCATGCGTAACGTGTATACGAGTCAGTTTCCCTTAGAAAGTCCTCCACGAAGGCATCCCTCTTCTCAAGCAGATAGCCCTTCATTTCTTTGCCATAATAAAGTAAACCAAACCAAATTAATATATTCTGCTCCTTGTTATTACTATTATTATAAGTTTAAAAATCATTGCTCATCCCCGGCCAAAAAAAAATTAATTAAAAAAATCGCAGAATAACAAAATACTTGGTAAATACTTGGTAAAGTATGTGAATATTTGCTAATTAATGCCACTATATTTGCTTTTTGTTAGATTAGCACGTCTATTACCCGTATCGTCAGCAATTTATACCACTGTATTATGCACAGCTGAAAATTCGCATATATCGGAGCTATGATAAAAAATTACGACAAAACAATTATTCATTTATCTTTATAATATGTCGTTAAGCTTTCTCTCCTACAGCCCACCAGTGTAAAGTCGCTAGACACTGGTAGTTCGGTCCGAGGTTCGAATCCCACGAACGGGCTGGCTGCATGGGCGTTTTCGCGGTTTTCCCCATGTGTAACGCGTATACGAGCCAGTTTCCCTTGGAAAGTCCTCCACGAAGGCATCCCTCCCCTTAGGCAGATAGCCCTCGAGGCTTTGCCGTAATCACACACACACACGCATGCTTTCTCTCCTACTTTAATGAGTCTGAGCTAATATACATTAAAGCGAGGTCCCATTAAGCGTAATTTTGCTGCATATAATTTATTGTATGAATAGCAGGTTGAAAGTTTCAGTAACCTGGCAGATAAATATGGAAAATAATATAATAATATAGTTGCGCCTTAAGAGAATATTCCTGAAGAAAATCGAATTCCTGCGGAGGTTTAACTGAAAATTCCTAATATAGATGTTATGAATGAATATTAAATTGTATTCTTCGTACGTGATGCAAGATTTTCGAAAGTGTATCTTGGTGAGAATTGTTAATAATAACTCATCTGAATAATTATTCAAGGCTGCCCAACTGGTGTAGTGGTTAACGTCGCTGACTGCCATGCCGAAGGACCCGGGGTTCGAATTCCGGCATGGATATTTGTAAATGCATAGTGTCGAAGCGGCATGGGGACCCTCTAAATATACGGCGAGCCGAAAGTCCTCTCGTGTGGTTTGGTGGAAGGGGAGAGGGGTACCCGTCCCGTCTCCGCTTAAAACAAACCACCCGTGGAACTGAGCCAAATCGCACTGCTACCTGTTAGGTGCTGTTGCCAACGGCAGGCGTAATCTTACGCTCCTTGCCACAAGGAATTTCGTGGGCTTGGGCTGACTACGTCAGACAAGTGGGCATAAGCAACAACAATAACATAATTCAAGTCCAAAACAGTATTGCATATTTTGAAACAGCATGCACTATTAAGCAATTTCTTTTTTTCGGGGGGGGGACGGGGGCTTAATCGAGTATAACGGAGCTTAAGAGTTTTTACTTACGTCTGCGATATTTTCCTAGAGGTCTTTTAAAGGGAACTTGATCGTATTGGCGGAATGGGAAACATGAAAAAAAAAAAAAAAAAATCTGAAATGTTTCAGATTTTAAATTATGTCCAAAGGGGCGTTTTTTAACATTTTGTGTGTTACCTTTCTTTATTAAATATCATGTTCCTCGCACTTAAACCATAAGATCCAGTGCAACAGCAATATCGCAAAATAGTTTTAAAACGAGCATATCTTTAGAATTTCCGATACAGAAACTCACGCGCTGGAGATAAAAATGTTTTTTCTGCACAACGTTGCCATTGCTCGCTTTGAAATCCTTGAGTTTGTTAATCAAAAATTTGTCAAAGTTTTAAAAAATAGGAAATCGATCATAAAACAAATTTCAAATTTGGTCTTCCACATGCTCATATTCGTTGGAGGATTACGTTATTCAAAATTCGATGACTCTATGTACCTTTGTTTTATCACAATACGAGAAATATACATACATTTATGCAGATTTTTCATTATTTAATTTCTTCAAATATAATGCAGGACTCTAACATTTTATGGCAACAGTTTGAAAACCGACATTTATCCGTCCGACGCAAAATGCCAAAACGAAACTAATAGTCCTTCGGGATTCAAATCCCTTTGGACTAAAAAAAAACATTGATGCAGACAACTAACAGCTTTTCGAACACTGTTCAGCGGTTCGGGTACCAATGAACACAAGCTAAATGTAATTGGGGTTATTGAGATTTCTAAAAAAAGAATAAATGGCTATTTGTTTTTAAAGTCATCAATAAGTT